AAACGAGCAAAATAGAAACGTATCATTAACGCTGGTTGTGGCACACACTTCACTTATCACCAAAAGGTTTACTTCACTTCTTACGGTTCAATGCGGTGAGAGACAGGAAAAACTGAAATGTTGTCAAACGGTGGAATGTGCAACTTAACCGTCCAGATTTGGAGATGACACATTCACAGCTGGGCATCGCGCGATGATTAATAGCGCTGGTTAAAAATACTCTCAGGCATATCAGCTTGTCATACTCAACGGCTAGTATTCATTTTTAGGGTTGTCGACCCTTTTTCTATGAGTAAGTATGAGTCAAGCCAAAGTGCTGCCCAAAACTGGAAATGTATGTTCACAGTAACTCATACGAAGGAATACATTAAGGCTTTACTGGGGATGAAGCTTGGCCACAAATAAATAAAATCATATCTCAAACGTCCGATGTCAATCACCAGTATCTAACCTGGACATAACTGTAGCTGACGTTAGAGTTTAATCTAATACCTGGGTATGTGAAGGACCTCAGTGGTGAGGATAGATGGCTAAACCATAAAACCTTAGCCTATTAGGATCTCATCGCGAGACTGGATTGTTCATTAAAAGAAACAATGAACAGGAAACCTGAACAAATAATCGATCAGTAAAAGGCGTTCCATATAAATAAAAGCGCCACTGTTAATCGCATCTCACCACGATCGTTACATCACGCAAACGCATTGTTTAAATCAGAGTTGCAATAAGTCACACGACTCGTTATAGTCAGCAAAATGTTCGCCAATCGTTTTTAGTCTATAAGTGTGGAAATTGTTTTATGTGAAAATAATTGTGGCAACTAGAAAATAACGAGACGAAGCAGTCACATCAATATACTTGTGTTAACTGATAGACAACGGACGACAAAACAAGCCGGAACCGTTTGTATATTTGTGTAAAGACATGTTTACAAGTGAACATCACTTATGTCGGAAATTAACTTTCTCAATGTCCGCGGCCATTCCAGTTTTCCTATTTTGAAAAGAACTAGACTAAGGTTTCACTCAACATTAGTAAATGTTCTTGTCACTGGCCGGATCTGAAATCCTGTCACGCTTTCTTGAGAAAAACATGTTGACCACCGTATCAGTGATCCCTTATTAGGCATATCTGAAGCCTCTGATGCAAATTCTCAACCGTAGTCACTTGTGAGGAGTGTTTAGGTTGTCCGATTGTGCCGAAGGGAGACACGGTAATTATCCCGTCAACTCTAATCGATAACTCTAAGATTAGGATATCTGTCCAAGCAGAAATGAGAAAAATCACTAAACATGGTATGCGATATTTTGGCTACTGGCAACTAATAGGGGATCTTGGTTGATATAAGTTGAACATCGCTCACACTTATGCGCACCTACGGATTTTCAAACAGCCTTTTCCGAAAAGAAGCGTTTACTCGAGTTTTGCACCGATTAGAGCTTATCACAGATGTACTTCCTTGTCACTGTCTGGATCTGAACTCCAGACATGCTTGCCTGCCGCCGTCGTAATAACTACTAGATCAAACACTAGGCAACATCGACTAACCACGTCTGAACGTTTGACCGCTTTTGTCTGTGAATATTGCTGAGATTGTCTTGTAATCTAAACTGAAGAACATTTGGGGAGTTGGCTAATTTGAAACTGATCGGTAGTCTCGAACTGCATTAGAAGCAGCCCATAACTAGGCTGTATATGTGGTACGGAATTAACTGTACGAGGATTTCATTCCGTTCATATTTACCAGTCATTAATGGCTATCTACTAAACATCAACCTGACATTTACTTCTGGAAGCAAACTCGATCGTTGCAACGTCGTTTTGTACGTAACTAAACAAGCACATCTTGCCACCTATTATTTCTGTGTTGTTTGTCTGCATAATTTTAATTCAAAATTGGGTTATTTAGTCGATCTGGTTGGGCAAAGCTCCCGACTAGTACTCTAACATATTCTAAATTTGAGTTAATATTCCCCAAGGGAGGAATCAGAGGATTAATCAGTAGGTTTCACTGAGCCAATCAGAACGTACTAGTCTCCCTGGGTTGTACGGAGCACAATGCAAGCAGTTTCTCAGAAGATGACAACAGGTGACATTGGTTTACTGTTCTTACGTGAATTGTGAGATTTTATGTGGCTTTGAGCCTCCTCGAGTTTGTGAGATATGAATTTGTAACCCCTAGTACTAGATTAAAGTTTATTTAAAGTTGTAGCAAAACAAGCCTCTTCAGAGAATTTCACCAGCGTAAATGAAATTTTCATGTACGTATTGTGATGTGATTTTAAGTTTCACCTGAATAGACACACTGCCTTCCAGTTGAGCATATTTCAAGTTGAACATCACCCACAATTCATCGCAGATGTCGCATCCCCATAGACTTTCCAGTCGGCCCCTTTCGAAAAGAAGCATTAGACTCGAGTTTTGCTCTCATTAGAGCTCGTCAGTAGTGCTAATCGTGGGGTTATCGATTGAAATTAACAGACGGTAACTGTGTCTCCATTTCGAGACGATTGGGCAACCTGATCATTACTCACAAGCGAAAGTGGTTGAGTGTTCACATATGATAATCCGGTCGTGCCTAACGTGAGGTCAATGGCGCAGTGATAAACACGGTTGCCTCATGAACAGCGTGTCCGTGGTTCAAGTCTCCGCAGTGGCGATAATATTCTCTACTGACGAGCGAGCAAAAGATTTCGTTTATTGGTACTACAAACCTGGCCTGTTCTACAGTTTATAATCTGTAACACTTTCAGCTTTTGCCTCTAAATGTCGCCACAAAATCCTCTGTCTAAAAATATGTGATCCAGTGAACTCCTCTTACGTTACATTATGCTATACTGTAAAATTACTCCACTGCATTTGATACTCATGAATAATTTAAATTTTCGACGTCCCATATCACAGAGTCGTCTGCATTCGTTCACCAGTTACAATACCCGACATGAAACTGAGTATAACTGTGCTTTTATTCTTGTCCAACCTTTGAAACATCTGATCTATTCGGGAATTTGTTGTGACCTATTTGATTTCAGATTATGTAACGAACTCAATTTCTAACAAAAGAATTCGAATTGCAGTTACATTTTAGAAGGAAACACAGATGTATAACCAGATGTTATCAGTATTCATTCGTGAAGATTTCGGTGCTTTATTAGTTGAGTTCAAACTGTTAAGTATTGATTCACCAGTAAGGATAGAAGACATACGTCGCAAGATGTTAACAGTTCGTTTACTCTCTTCAGTCAAGAACGTAAAACATTGGAATATATAGGACATGTGAATGACAACAACAAACGAAATGTTAAAATCTCGCGACGTATGTCTTCTATCGTTACTGGCGAACTGGATCAAGGGAACCCAGTGTTTTAAAGTTAAGTATTGGTCTACAAAGCAAAACTGTTGTTAATCTTTTCTTTAGCAGTTTTCGGAGTTTGCTTCCTAAAGTCTGAGGAAAAACATAGCACGTAACAAAAAAACAAAGCGATGATATACTTACAATTTACCGCTTACTATACATCAAGTAAACGTTATGGGCTTTGAAGGATCCCTGTGTTACACGCAGACTGATAGAAAGTTGGAGATTTTGATTGTCATCAACTCACCAACGCCCAAATTCGACCGCGTCCTCTTTTTCAAACTGGTATATGTAAAAGTGAACTGGCATACTCAAGGTTAGTCATAATAGAGAAATAACTTAGGTTTTAGCTCTGTTTCATGGGCTTACAGGACAACTGCACTGATCACTGCATGGTGACTTTGCTCTGAACGTAACATAATTAACACGTGTTATCTTTCGATCAAAATCCTAATACATCCTCCATTGTTTCATAGAATGTCACACTAAATATTTTATCACTGTTAAAGTGTCACTCTTTTTGCCACCTCTATAAGTATCTGAGTAGTGCGCTATTGCTCAAAAGTAAACCTGTTATGCAAGGCACTTGCGGGCTTTGTCTTCTCCAAATGTTTACCTGAGTCTTCAATGGTGAGAATTGGTGTGGTTTTTTGAACGAAACCAATTCGGACTAGGCAGTTTGCATCAGAATTTAGATGCTTTGCAAATAAGCTTGTAGAATCGAAGATACTGTGTAGTAATGATGAACAGGATATGCATTAGCTGTGCAATTGTCAAATCCACACAGACTGTGAGCGCAATGGTTACACCGGCATGGTTTCTGTACAGGAGAGTCAGACGGTCATATGCACATAACATAACAGTTAGTGTTATAACCTGAGATGAATTCACACGCTGCTCTCAGTCATAAACATGTGATTGGTGTGAGGGGAAAAACAGCAGTTTTAAATGACATACATTTCAGTGTATCTCAAGTAAATGCAGTACTTGACAGTAGGTGGGTTTCGATCACGTTTCATGTCATTTAGATACTCTTGGCCTTACAAAAAGGTTTTCAAAACCTGCCACTGACTACAAACCTACCGGACATTGTTATACTGACCTCTATGTGATGATAATTTTCTAGAGTCCTGTAACAGAATAGCTTAGCCAAAAGTTCTGATTATGTGAATATCTATGAAAGTTGTCTACATAAATATGTGAGTTAGTCCTTCTGAATCACATCATCACTGGCATTAACCATATGGCTTATTATAAGACCATATACTACCAGTCGTGTTTGTTCATAATGACCGGTTATTTCAAGCTGATACTGCTGCATAGAAGAGCTTAAATTATGTGCAAGCCCCAGCTGGCTTTCCCAAACATAGTTTCTTACTGATTGTGTTGTTCTTTCATTGTCCACCTTCGTGTTTTACTTGGGATATAAAAGTCACTAAGGAAGATGTATGACAAATATGGTATGAAGATTGCACAATACATTGTTAAATTGCATTCGATGGAGGTCATCGCCGCGATGGATATTGCGAAGCAAATGTACAAGTAAATAGAAATAGGACAGACTGCATAAAACAAATTTTTGGATTTATGGCCGACTGGACCAAACGATAATAACTCTTAGATGAGACCCAACTGTGAAAAGTCAGGGTTTCGGCTGGATTCCAACCAGCGACTGAAACACCATGCATCTACGAGGCAAGCGCTCTGCCAGCTGAGCTACGAAGCCACTCCAGAAGCTTGGGAGTTTCACACTTGGATTCACTAGTAATACTAACTCTGTCTGATTATATGTCGTCCACTTTTCTTCATGCACGCGTATGGTCTGTATGACAACGGAACGGGGAAACAAGTTTTCGAATTTTATGAAGTTGTCCGGAGGAGTTTTCTAGGACATCCATCTCAAACTAGGCTCATCTGTCGGAAAAATTAACGACAATGCTAACTGTCCACGTAGACGATGAGCGGTGAATCAAATAGTTCGTCCATAATTTCCTGAAAAAAATATGCAAATTTTTGGCTTCCGGCAGTGCAAGCTGCACGGGTTTTTATGAAAGCGAATACGTCATAATGGTTTCATTAAAATATGGATTTTTATGCGAAGATTATTCGATGTATAGCTATTATACAATTCCAGGAACTTACCTGCCGAAATTGTTAATGACTAGACAAGCGGCTAAATGACAATCAGTTTGGCAGTTGTACGAAATGCTGTACTTCACTCACCTATATAACAAAGAAGCAAGATAAATTATCTCTCCTTAAAATGGGGTTCAAAATTGTTATCATGAATTTGTTAATTCTGCTGGGCTGAAGTTCTTACAGACTGTCGTATATTTGGCAGACAACGAAGGTAACATTTTGTGGACGAAAAAAGGCCAGTTTAACATCAACTCAATTGTGTCACAGTAGTTAATCAATAAAACTGTGGTTCACCCACAGTAAATTAGTCAGATTCACGAAATATCTTTTCTCAACACTACGCGAGTCGTTTTCAACAAAATATGAACTGCGGGAGTTTCAGAAAATTACCCAACAACATTAACTTGGCATCATTTTGAAGCATCTATGTAAGTGGGCAGTTTTTCCTGTTTCTACTATGTCAACTGTACGATTGGCTTTTATCGGTAATTCTCATCGGGCTGTTACAACTACATAAGGTACATGCGTTTTATGTATGAAAAAGTAGAACAAATTCTTGTTTCTGTTAAAAATGTGGGTTGATTGACACGTACCCACTACCACTGCCAAGACTATTTCGAGATGGTTATTTTCAAATCATTCTGAGTTAACCGTGAACTAATCATTTCCCTCCGACATACCCGAAAACGCAAGACATATGTAGCACGTCATCCCACACTGTCAGTGTCCACTGTGTGGAACACTTGACTAAATCCTGTGTATGCCATCAAGCACCAGAATAGGTTCTGTCATAAGACAAAGCTAAAACAAACTACTTCTTGCTAGCACTTTTCGATGTGGATGAACCACCGACTCACAGGTTTTTCGTTTGTCAACATGCAATAGACTGAGGTGTACCGAATGCGATTATACTGCATGCTCATACAGGTCCAGTGATGTTCCTCATAGTATAATTCTACAGTATTCACAAATGAGGTCCACAAAATACAGATTAACTTCATAAGAGACCCAGTACTGGTTCTTTAGTTCAAGTCGAGTTATCGCGATGGAGAATGCAGTTCATTCTTACTAGATGGAGTAGTAGGGGATTATACCGGAGAAAGAACAAGTTTCAAATTAATAACTGAGCGGATGGTTTACCATAAAACCCAGAGAAGTATTACAATTCAATTTTATATCTCCAGGTCTTCCAAAAAAGTTATTAAACTGTGAACTTTTCCACTTCGTCCGTTGTTCATACGCTGCTGATCATAATTTGTGCACTGCTGACATCTTTCATGCGTTTAACTGTCCTGGTTACCGTGGTTACATCTTGGACGGGGAAAACTGACTGGACAACCATAGAATAAGGAACTTACTTCCTCTCGCAATTCTACCAGGCTCTGTCACGTTCGTCACCACCATGCTCGACGCAAATATTTTCTTTCACCCTCACGATTTACTGATTGTCTATCTCTACAGGAATCCGTACGAATACGAACATAAGGGTCAGACAGATTACTCTTCATTGTTACGCGAACGGTAGTGCGAAAGGGAGAGTATAGACAGGGCCAGTGAAATAACCGAGATGTCGCTCTCTCACATGATTGACTCAACCATGAGGATTATTATCAAACTGACAGATTCAGTGGTTCGGAGGCTTAGTTTCAGTCTTAGTTGGGCAACACCCTCACTGGACTTAGGCACTAGTGTGTCTCTAATGAGACACGTGGGCGGATAATCCAGACTTTTGGGCGCGAAGAGGATTGGCATCTGAAGCGATGAGGAACGGTGTGAATAGTAGAAAAGTTTATAGTTTACTGTATATCTACGTTATTACTCAATTGTCAACGGCTGATGATATTCTGAGAAAACCTGTTTTGGTCAATAAACAGCCTGAAAAATAGCACTCGCAAATGCGAATCGGCTGATGAACACATAGTTGCCCCTTTTCAAGGTCACCAAAGTCTGATTGGTTTCGTTAATGATTTTGGATTCAAACATTAGTGGCGGCTCGTGAAACTGCCCTGACACTATAACTGCGGTTCCATACGTTTTCTGCATGTGTTCCACAGGTTGCTGTGTGGTGATAACTGCTTAGTGTAAAATTTGTATGCTAATATTTCTGTATGCTTGACATTTTGTAGTATGTGTACAAGCTGCTAGAATCGGCTATTGTGTTGTCTATGCTCCAGCGAAGGCTGCCACAAGTAAACAAATCAACAGATATAATCGTGACCGATGAAGAATGTAATTCAATATGGAACAAACGTATGTTTCACACTAAAGAGATGTTTAGGCCACAATTTCCGTTCCCAGTTATTTGATGTCTCAGTCCTGAAGGAGAGCAAGCGTTGCAACAAGCGTCGAGCTGTACATGCTCTTCACGTTCGATAGTTTGTAAATTACACGTTACCTCTTTGTGGCTTAGTGTATAGTGTAATTCATGCTGCACGCGTAGATCCAACAAATGTAATATTTCTGTCAGGGTGAACGACAGTGTTCTTTGTTTTAATGATGTTCCGGGAAGTGGTGGAAGACTGGGTTTCATAGAGAAAATCCCACTGCTATCGGCAAATCTTTAGGTGAAATTTATCTTCCTGAATGGTGTTTTGTTGTTCGCTTCCATTCCCTGTATAACTTTTGTAGCTGGGATAGAACTACCATCGTTGTTCTGTGTCAAGTGCAAGTAACATCTTATGGGTTATTCTGTATTGGTAGTCTGTGAAGTGTCATCAAATCAAACACCGTGATTGGTTTCGGTTCCTTCCTATTATCTACCATGACTAGAACCTGATTCTCGATATATTAGTACGGTGCGCTTCCAAACCTTTCTTTGTTTAGACATACATGTTGAAAACTTGTCTCAAGGAATAGCAGAACTCAAGTCGATAACATGAATCTATTGAGCAAGGTAGTTGCCCAAGATCACTATTTCTAGTAAACTCAAGGAAGTACTTCAGCTACGTCTGCTTACCTTGAACACTTCTGTCATTATTAAGAATTCCTTGTTCAAAATGCTCCCGATGTTTTGTACAGACACATGTGATCAGTGAATAACCAGGTTGCCGAGTAGTAGGAATGAAAAGTAGAAGTCACTATACTGTAAACGCAGAGACCATCTTATGTCTTGTGGTTAACACTCACGTTACCAAAATATTCTATACGATTCAGGTGTCCTCTCTCGAAAAATATGCATGTCAACTCGATGTGATCGTATAGCATAGATTTAGCTTTCTCTTAATCCCAACCTTTGGGGGTAACTACTACTAATCCGGTTCACCTCAGCCATTACATCAATACGAATCACTCTCATAGTCCAAGTATTTACTGCCAAGAGTACCTAAGTGCTTGTTGTACGAGCATTGTACTGGTAACATCGAGTCCCATTCATTTAAAGAACACAGTACGATAAACATATGCTTTTGATAATGCATCATCCAGTCAATGCAATTATAATGGTTAGTTAAAGTAAGAAACTAGAGTGTCTAACTGGCCACTGTCAGAGTCACAGGCTTATTAGTACACACGAAAATGTCAACACTGACTGTCCTGCACACAGAATAGGTTTGCTCCCTGTAAACGAGATCAGTTGTCTGTGTGTACTTGAGTGAGTGTATATTAGGAATTACCTGAGACCTGGAGAGTTGCAAGACGTGAACAAATTGTTTTGTGAGCAATACAATGGGCTACGTAATCCGACCGTGATCAAATCAGCCGTTGCCAAAATCTTCTATTTAACCACCTTCGGTTGATGTATCGTAATCTCGTATACGACCCGGAATTATTTCGACATATTTATTAACTGGGTGCTCACGACAAGATGCGATACGACTGCAATAGTGATCAATTTTATGGTTCTGATCCAGATTGGGTGTTACTTTTTAATCTGTTTGAAAAGACGCTCCTACACGCTGTTTTATATCACCAGCTGAAGAAATACTATATAAATATTGACTGTTACCAACAGGTAGACTGTCTTTGGGACCAATTATTAGCACAGTTTTAGTGGTGAACTGGTTCCCCAATGACACAGTAAGGAAGGTTTGATATAGGGACTGTGGTAAACATCGCTTCATCTATTCAGTGATTATGTCTCCTCTGAACGGGAGTACAACCAATCACGCGATGAACAGACACCACGGTTCTCTCCTTGAACCTGCTTATGCTCAGCCTTTCGTCCTGCCGTACGAGTGAACTTCAACAGACACCTGTGTTACACCTATGACCAAGTTCATGCGGATACCTGTAGAGCTAGGGAATCGGTGCATTTGAGGAATGGGGGAGAAATGTCTGAACCGACTACAGTTGCGATAGATAAACAGAGACTGGTCAAATGCACACTAGATATTGATGTATGCTAAAATATTACGCTGCTTTTCAGGATTGTTTGTCCTGAATTTTCGCACTCAATCGCAACAAGAACGAACCAGAAATCCACTGTTAAGAAGACAACAGACCTAATATTTCCAAACAAGATGGAAACAGAAAACCGACTGATTCTAACCTGCTGTGGTACCACCAGCAATAAAGAGAACGGACGAACACGAATGCAGCCTAACCCACCGGAGTAGTATTATGGAAAAATTGATTTACTTTACGAAACAG